TCGAAAAGCAATTTCTCTGCCCGTGAAGCATCATTTCCAGCTGGTTGATTATCTGTCCTACAGAGATTAATTCAAGACGGCAATTGCAGCCGTGCGCGAACAGCACAAATAGAAAAACAAACACTACAATAGAAATACAGGCTACGACGTGCCGTGCGGGGAAACAAACTCATGGCTGCGAACCGCATTGGAGCGGCGTGATTTATTGGATTTCAAATAATTACGGCATGATCGAGCGCTTACTTTTTAATAAGAGATTCATCCTCTGAGCCATTCAAAATACTCCCAGAGGTATGACATTGCTGACAAAAAAAATCAACACGCTGGGAATATTTTTTATTGCTTACGCAGACACCGAAAATTCCGTACGTTCAAAACGACCATTATAAAAGACGGAAACGCAGAGCTGGGGTGAAGTCTTCGGGTTTTAGTGTGCCGTTGTATTGATGTTCGTAAGTGCCATGCACGTGTATGCGCTCAATGTATGTCCACCTGATGCTTGTAGTGTGCGTGTGTGTGTGCACATGTGTGTACAGTACAGGTTCCCGAAGATAGCGAAGCGCGAGATGGCCAGCGGAAATATTTTTTTGTAGAACATGAATTGGGCGGCACCTGGCGCAACCTAGCCTAGCTACTTGCAATTACTCTGTTTGACCCTGCCATCTGGTGGCAAAAGATTTAACCTTCTTTCCCGGTACGCGATAAACAACAACTTCCAGTTTTTTTGTTTTTTTTCTTTTTTTTTTTTTTTTAAGGCGGCTTTTCGTTTTGCGGATGTGTTTGCCATTTCTCCGTGATGTGCGGTTGCCGAAGGAATTGTGACTCGAGGAACTGCAAAGGTAAGACGTAAACGGCGCGAAGAAACCGGGTATCGGTTGACTCCGTTTAACATCGCAGTGCTGACGACGAGAAGACTGAGTAGCTGCTTTAGAAACGCAAGTTTCTGTACTTGTGGGGGGAATGTGGCTTCGGAAAAAAATACAGTTCGCGGACAGCTCGTGTTACGCTTTTATTTGCTGCTCCTCCCGTCCCGTACAAGAAACATAGCGTCCTTGTTAAGCCTTATTGAGCTTGATTTGCTCGATTCACCGCCGGTATAATGAGATGCAGGCGACGGAGGAACTATTTGCTCCCCTGCTTCAGGGACGAAGTTTTCTGCCTTTCCCTATCGATACCCTTTTTTCTAAGAGTGCATAGTACTTCACGAAAGACGAGGTACAATGTTCGCGCCAATGTGCCAACCAGAAGGACGTGATCTTTGTCATGCTCGACGGGGAGAAAACGCTCGTGCCAAAGCGCTTCCTGACACGCACAAGCCGAGAGGCCTTTCGTGTATACGAAGGCAAGGATCCTGATTCCGGCGTTAGGCTAACAAAATTTTATTCCTTGCGCACTAAATAGGTGAAATGTATTCCAAACCAGGAAGTGTGTGTCTGTGTGCGCTGCGCTAATTATTGTCCTTGTATTGCCGTTCTAGAGAACGTTATAGGCTCAACATTCAACACTGGTTAAAGGAACTCAGCATTTCTGTGCGACCCACTAACAGGCCTGCGTCGTTAAGTACACTGTGATCACTGCCCAAAAAGCCAGTCTCTTAGACTCGAGGAACTTCATATCCCGGAGGATGAAGAGATTGTGCTTACAACATGGGAGTCCGGCGTTCTTGTGAAAGCGACCTTGAATCCTGAGACTTTACTAAAAGTTGTTCAAGTAACGGTTCAAAAATGGATATTTCAAAACCTTACGCGACAAACGCAAGGTAGAGCAATCTAGGATGAAAAGCAGTGCATGCAACGCAGAAGCATTGCCTTTCATTTTGACTTTCCTGAAAACTGGACCATTTTGCTTCCGGACGTGATTCAAGCATACAACTTAAAAAAATAAGAACAAATCACAATATTTCTATGTGTAGTAACGACAAGAAAATCTACAAAGAGCTTTGCTATCATCAATGAGGACCTATGTTGCGACGACGCTCACACGCGCTTGGCTCTGGAAAAAGTGAAAGAGTGGGTTGAAGACAACGCTGCGGTACACTCGCACGTGACGTACGTAAGTCACGGGGTCGCCAGTCATTTTAAGAATCGCTACCAGATTCACCAGTATGCACAGAGCAATTGCCCACAAGCCTAGTGGTTATTTTGTGCATCTGGACATAGGAAAAGGCACGCGATGGAGTTGGCGGACTCGTGAAGCACCAGGCCACGCTGAACAACCCAAGAGAACGTGCAGTAAACGCAATTCAGACGGCCAGGACAATGGTGAACTTCCTATCCGAGAAACGGAAATGCGCGCATCTTGTGTATTCGGACAAAAATGAGGTTGTTCGGTATCGTAAACAACAACTACGACAAAAAGTGGCTGACGGTGCGCGCCTTTCCTGGCATTCAGTCTTGGCGCGCGCGGCAGCTGTGAAAGACATCAGCAGAAGGGACCTGTGGCATATGCCAGCACGGACAGTCGAATCTGGTTAGAAAAAAAAAACTTTATTAAATGGGTGCAGCGGGGCAAGCCTTGGCGTAAAGTGGCGAATTTGATTCCCCAAGGACTGCTCATTTTGAATACGTGGACATCTTAGTTCTCCCAGTTTTCTTCGCGGAGTATTGAACCTACTGTTTTACTTGGTTATAGCTTATAATCGTTATCTGATCACCATACGAGAATCACAGAACGTTATCCTCTCGCAGGATAAAACATCTCGGCTTGCCACGATCCATTCGTACACCGAGAGTATCGAAGCTGCTACATTCAGGCGCGGTCGCACTCTTCACCTGAAGTTGTTTGTACCTGGAAATGCATAGCCAACCTAAACATTTTTTTATATTATATCTGTATTTCTGTGTGTGGATGTAAAGTAATTTCTTTTACTCTAACTGTAAAATATACCAGAAAGTAAAACTTCACACTCCCTCATCATTTCTCAAATCACTAGTCTTTAATACGATACCTCTTTGTACAGTGTATGTGAAACGCTGTAAATAGTTTCTCCCTACGTTTACTGTGTGACCTATTGCTCTAGCTGTCAGTGACCTCATCACAACAAAAACATATGAAAGATATGTGTTAGTTTGGTGAAACTGGAACTCGGAGTCACTTCTTGTATAGGGCACTGCTAAGTGAAGGCTTTGAAAAATGACCCTTATTTGAACAGTTATGTCGACTTTCTCAATAAAATAATGCGACATATTTTTACTACAAATTCATGCCAAAAAAGTACATGACAAGGTACCCAAACTAAAAAGAAAAAAATATGTCGAAGGTGGTCTTTGTTATATTTGCCTCGAAACTTTTCGTTGTTTGATTTTTTCCCTCGTCTCTAAATTTATCACGGCTACCGTATCACCGGATATATTTAATATATATATACAGGGTGTTTTCTTTTTGTTCTTACACATTTGTTTAAAAAAAAGCGTGAAACTTACAATAATGCGGTTTGTGCAGGTGTCCTATACGGCTTGGCGGACGTTATGTGGGTGGGTAATCTTTGCGATAAGTCGACCAATTAATTAAAATCTGTTAATTCACTTTTTAATTAGTGGAAATAGACATACGGTTTCAATTAGAAACTTGTAGATCGTCATTGAAAACCACTAAATCAACTATTTTTGGAAGGATATAACGTCGGGGAAGCATTTAACAGCGTTCCGTAAAAACGCTCCATTTGGATGCGTTTCTAGATTTCGGTTTCTTATCGGAGCGCATCACCGCGCCCGCGGTCCTGCACCCCAGTGGCTGAGACGCGCAACACACGTGCGCCGCACTTCCCTACATTCTACGAGGGAGGCGAGGACGTGGCTTCGCGTCGCGACCGCCGGGGAGCAGGATCGCCGGCGCGTAGATGCGCTCCGATAAGAAACCGAAATCTAGGAATGCGCCCAAATGGAGCGTTTTTACAGAACGCCGTAAAATGATGCCCTGGCGTTATATCCTGCTAAAAATGGTTGATTTAGGGGTTTTCGATGATGCTCAGCAATTTTTTCTAATTGAAACCATATGTTTATTTTCAGTAATTAAAAAGATGATTAACGAATTTTAATTAATTAGCCGACTTATCGCAAAGATTAGCCGCCCACATAATGCCCCCTGGCCGTATAACCCACCTGCACAAACCGCATTACTGCAGCTTGCACGTTTGTTTTTTATACAAATGTGTAAAAATAAAAAAAACACCCTGTATATATATATATATATATATATCCGTTACTATAATTTGAGCAAGCCGACCGCAAGCACTGAAAGCAGACCTTTAGTATACTTGAGTGCACTTCTTGTATACTGATTTTGAACTACTTTTTACCGTGGGCACTACGATTCTACTACATGTACTAGTTTTGTACGGACGGGTATACTTTCAGTCCACCACAATTCATACTGGAAGTATACTTTAAATACACTTAAAGTATACAATCAGTACAAAGACCGCACTGAAACTAAACTTTTAGTATACTGCAGTACACTTCGAGTATACTGATTTTGAACGACTCTTCACTAAGGGAAGCGCTTGAATATCTTTATGCATTCACAATTCCGATCAAACATATTTTTCGTCATTATTATTGTTCTATACTTCACTTTAAAAAAGTTAATGCAAGGGTGCAGGCGAGCTCGTTAAGAGCTGAGAGTTTTAACTTTGGTAAGTGGGGTGAGTGCTGTCCCGTCCTGTTTCCCCGGTCTGGTTAAAAATGTGAATGCTTCCCTTGCTTTCAATTCTGCTTGTGCACTAAGGTTTTGCGGAATCATTGTAGCCATAGTGTACTGACAGGATCTCGCCTGTTCATATTCTGACACTATAGTTCCATGTATGCAGTTTGTATTACTAAGTTTAGTTCTTCATGAAGAGCCAAGAACATTCATCGAAAAACCATTCTGGTAGTTCTCTGTCTCATATACCGGAACTTAATTAAATGTATTGCACTGCTATTCTTTTTCTACAAAGCATAACCCCCTAATAATTGCACATAACCATTACCAATAAGACATGTCTAATTCGTTTCGTTCAGGGAATTGCGGACTTGTTACAACAACGCCAGACTCTGTGATAAGTGAACGCATTTTGAACGGCACAAACGCGATTGCTGGAGCTTGGCCATGGATGGTTGAAATTTTACAAGGAAACCAACACCGCTGCGGTGGAGCCCTGATAAGCTCCCGACATGTGCTAACGAGTGCTCACTGTCTAACGTAAGCAATTCTAGATCTATTATTCTGTAACGTTCTGATAGAATAAATCCCAAAGCGATCTAAAATATTTCCTCTATATATAACACTAGTCAACAGTTTTACGAAGCTCAAGAGAAACAAATTTTCGGTGATCCTTTCCTTGAAAGCACTGTCGTATTTTCCGGACTGTCGTGTGCAGCCGGTTCATATTTCGCGCCTTGTGCCTAGAAGGCGATGTCAGTTGCGAGTTTAAACTACAATCCGCATGTAAGAGATTTGGCAAGCGACGAGACAACCGACTGCGACCCGCTTCGCTGTCGCTCGGTCAGTCGAGCGACTAGGCAAACTGCATGGAAACGACGGGAGCTAGCGGAAAATTTGATCAGCGACTATTCTCGAAATACAAAAACTAAGCGATCCGACGATTGACTGCGAAGCGCGAGACACATGCGCGTTAAAACTGTCCGATCCGGCGTGCGAACTGTCGGGAAGAAGGCTGCTCGGATTCGCCGCACAGGACGGTTCGTGACACATGGTTTCCGACACGTCGTTGCTTCCAGTTGCGTCGCTCCGTTCAGCTCCGCCCAGTTTCGGGTGTCCCTCTACCAAATGGATGAATGGATGCTAATGGCTATATCTATAACGGGCGGTAGCCCGCGCCACCTAGCCTAGAAAACTAAAATACTTGCCTCGCCCTTGTTGGTTTTTCTGACTTTAAAACAAACATAATATTTTTATTACATTCTATTAAAGTGTGCGTGTGTAAAGATTTTCCGTGAGGCTACTTTTCTGCTCAACATCACTTAATCGCGAAGGACCGCAGCGGACCTTAGGAGCCATCCCAGCGAAACGAGCACTGCGTACAAATCACGTGATTACGTACCGCGCGCATGGCTGCGTCTCTCCCGAAGCTCACATGACACTCACATGACATTGGAATGGCTCGTAGCGTCCGCTGCTGTCCATCCTAAGGTGAAACCGAGTATATTCGGGTTTCGACGGTCTCGATCGGTCCCACAAGGCGGGCTGGCTTGGGCGCGCGAAAACAGCAGCTCGTTTTGTTCGCGCGGGAAAACTCGATATGGTTTCCAGTGATGGCGTCCGTTCCCTTCACAACCACGACTCGCGTCGCGTGACGCACCGCGCACCGCAACATCCGCTTCCCCTAGCACGTAGCGCCTCCTCGCCCGATCGGTCCGAAAGTCACGTGACAACATGACCTTCGCACCATCCGTACTCATTGGCTGCGGCCCTCCAAAAATCGGACCGTGTGTGCGGCGATATCCGGCAAGTTGGTCGCATGCCGGCGCCGGACGGAGCCCCCGTCCGACGCTCCGGTGCGATGAAAACCCTCTCCTTCGGACGTCGTTCCGGCGGTTCGCACGTCGGATCGGATGCATTTTCCGCGGATGTGTCTCGCGCTTGGGAAAAAGTCGCACGTCGCTGACTCATCGCTGTCGCCACGCTCTTCTCGTCGATCGCTTAATCGCTTACATGCAATTCAGCCCTAAACGTTCAGGTGTGAGTTAAACATCGGTTGTGAGCTAAACTTCAGTTGTGAGTGAAACGTCAGTTTTGAGATAAGCGACAGTTGTGAGTATAGCATTTGTCCTCTACGTCTTTAGCTCTTCCTCGGCGTTTCAGTGTTCGTATATTGCGTTGTATACTTACAGAGAGAGTTCTTCTAACAGCACACCTTGAATAAAACCTGCTTTATTAGCTCACACAGGAGCTTATGTTATAAATAAATTATCAGTAAAAATTTCTGGGATTCACGAAATCCGTCATGTCAAGTCAGAATGAAGGATCTAGAAAAAACGAATATTTCTATTTTATACCGCAACTGGAGATACTCTGACCCACGTAAAACTTAAACTTTTGAATGTGTATAGTCCGCGGACTCTAGCTCGGGGTAAACGGTACGGTATAAGAAATGGGACGCCTTATTTAAAAATCGATCGTTTAAACTTTTTTGGAAATATGTGAACGTGTCACTTTCGGGGCGCAGGAACAGAGTGTTTATTTGTTTCTCCATGCACCCTTACAACATCACCACACACTACGGAGGACGCAAGCATACCGTTTAGACCCCTTTCCAAAGTCCGCGCCATCGCCTGTCCGATATTGCTCGCTCACGAACTCTGAGCGTGTAATGTACAAAAAGACTGCGTCTTCGTTCGGCGAGTACTCGGATCCAATCACGCGTTTCGTGTCCCAGCAATGGCGACCGCCAATGTTGCTCGGAGAACTTCTCAAAAAAGTCTATTGTGGTCGGAGACGTGGGCATGCTCTTCAGTCAATACAAGTGGAAAGCCGTTCAGCTCGCCCGGAGATGGAGCAGAGGGTGGTGGGCGAAGATCTATGGGTTTGATTTCTGGTTGGCGTGTATATGTGTTTGTTTAACTTTATCTGTTTCAGTACATCGTCTTAATTCTGCTGTCATGGTAACCAAACCGGTTTTTCTGACGTTTCCTGATACCGGGTATGTGTGGTCCGCGGTTTAAGATATACATGGTGTGCACACCGCGCACGCCGCAGCATACAAATAAAACCCACTCCTCGTCTTGGTTGCATTCGGTGCCGCCAGATGGCTCTTCGATAAGCGGCTAATGAAAGCTAATGGGAGCCCGTCCCGGGCTAGGGTTCCTATGGTTCTTTATGGCAGGCAGGCTTCTTAAATTTTCCTCCTGGGTGAGCCACGGCATGTAGAACCTGAAATTTGTGCTACTCGTGTTCCTTAGACATTGCTTCGTCATTGACTCTGGTTTGGCACCTCAACTATGGTGCCTGGAACGCGCGTCTCCGACTGGGTTGTTGACCGCGTACAAAAAGTAGTCCCTCGGGTTCTGCCCAATGACGTCATAGCAGTGCTTCTGTCGCCTGTCTCGATCCTGGCGGCGTCCCAGCAGCAGTGGAGTATCTGGCAAGCGCCGCTCCTGCTGCAGGTCCCTCTCAAGCTGGACAGTTCACCGAGGTTTCTGCAGCGAGCAGTTCGGACACCGTGACGAGAGCGACATTCGCGATCGCTCGTGCATTTTGCCAGCAATTCTACGACCAACTGCCAGGATAGCGACATGCAACAGCACGACACTCCAGGCTTGTGACATAATTTTTTTACACGAGGACTACATTTGATGTACGGGCAAGATAGGACTCTAAAGACACCAATCAGAGACGCGTTTCAGGCACCATATCTCAAAGGCGTCAGTGTCAGTTTTACAAAGGCCATGAAGTGGGCAGATATCTGGCGCGGTGTTCAAGAGAGCGTTCGTCAAGATCAAAGCAGACGCTTAGAGCGGCAAGACCGCACGCCCGGGTGCCATGGGGTAGGGGACATGTTTACTCCCTTTTTCTCTTGCTTAGTTGCGCCGCCTGGGCGGCGCAACTTAGCAAGAAACTCTAGCAACCTTAACCGATAGCACCATCCCGGTTCCTGGTTTCTGCGGGCTTAATTCCTGACCAGCTCTCTGTTTACTATTAGTTTCGAATTCATTTAACTTGTAGACGACAGCCGTTGCTGATTTGAGGCCCGAGCTAGTTACGAATTGCGGCAGAGACGTCGAGCGTCATCTCAGCTTGCAAACGTCGGAAAGGGTTGCGTAAAGACAGCGCTGTAGAGGTTGGTTGCACTATTTCTCTACGGAGTGCGGTGCCGTTGGGGCCGAGAAGCGCTCCGATTGCCAACCGAAACTTAAAAACCCGTCAAAATTGTGCTGTTTCTTAGAAAGCCGTCTAATACCCCGCGTGCCTTCTATCATTCTGCATATGTTGATGTAGTGTTTTTGGATGATGCTCAGCAATATTCTAAATGAAATCATTCCCTTAAACTAAATACTTAAAAAATTAAGGAAAAATATTTAACAATTTAATTATCCCGATCTTTAATAATTTTTTCTCAATAGGCCCCTGCCCTAGGACCAAAATAACACAAGCCTTTTTATGGTGCGATGCGTAGTTTTCGCAATGTCAAATTTGTCCATCTTTCGTGATAGGGTGTTTCTGCGAAAGCTTTAAAAAAACTAAAAATATGCGGATTAAAATTTAAAAAAATTACCTGCAGAAACAAAATAGAGGCCTTAGAGGACGTCCAGAACTGCAAAAATATACTAATTCGAGCGATGATTCACTAACATTTAGTAATTAATGGTTTAGTTATTGAAAACAAACATGTGGTTCCACAGAAAGACTTGCCCAGCATCATCGGAAACCACCGAACGAACTTTTTTTACAAAGATATAAAGCAGCTGCGGGGACAGCATTTTACGGCGCTCTGAAAAAACGCTATGTTTACACGCGTTTCTATGCTCCAGCCTCTTATAGAAGCGCACTTTTGCTTTCCGGCCCCGCTCCCCACTGGCTAGACGCGCAACACACGTGCGCCCTACTTCCCTCCACCCTACGAAAGAGGCGAGGGGGTGGTTTTGCGTCGCGACCACCGGGGACCGTATTCGCCCATATTCGCCTTATCGGGGCGCAAAGATGCGCCCCGAAAAGAAACCGAAACCTACAAACTTGACCAAATTAAGAGTTTTTTTTTTTTTTTTTTTTCAGAACACCGGGAAATGTTGCTCCTGTCTAATATCTTCGAAAAATAGTTGATATAGTGATCTTTGGTAATTCTTAGCAGGTTTCTAGTTGGAACCCTACCTTTATTTTCCCTAATTAAAATGTTCATTAACAAATTATACATAATTAGCTGACTGATTGTTACGATTATCCACCTATACTATGCCCCCTGGCTGTACAACTCACCTGCACAAAGCGCGCACGTGCAGGTTACGAGCAAGTAAAGCCAAAAAAAACACCCTGTGTAGATTTCGCAGTGATTTGGCTACATGGGCGAACGGACAAATGTCTGAAACTATGTGATTGTGTTATAGAGCATTTCATGCTTTAAAGGTAGAGGCTGCACCATCGGGTCACCCCCGTTATGAAACAAGTATAACTACAAGGTGAAACAAGGAGACATGAGGCTCTTTATATCAACCGGAAAATTCGGTTTCTTAACCTATCGCGCTACGACTCTGTGCAGCGTTAACCACAGATGGCGCTTTTTTTTTTTTTTGTAAAATTTGCGAAGAGCGAACTTACCTGAGGAAAAAGTAAAGAACGAAAAAGGCTTAGCTCCTATAGAAACGCGGCGACGCCACCGGTCTGCAAACAACACGGCGCCGTTTCGCACGGGAGACAAGAGATGGCGCAACAACCGCCGCCAACGAACGAGCATACGGCGCCGAGAGCAGGCCTTTTTAGCAGACGATCTTTTCGACTCAAAAGCGGCGCGCGTTCCGTAGGCGGCGACAGTCGCAGAAACAAAACAGACAGGCGCGGTAACAGCAAGGAACTGCTGTTTCTTGTCTGCAAAAGGGCCGGCTCTCGGCGTCGTCTGCTCCTTCGTTGGCGGCAGTTGGCGTCGCGACCGCTCGCGCCATCTCTTGTCTCCCGTGCGAAACGGCGCCGTGTTGTTTGCAGACCGGTGGCGTCGTTGCGTTTCCATAGGAGCTAAGCCTTTTTCTTTCTTTACTTTTTACTCGGGTAAGTTGGCTCTTTGCAAATTTTACAAAAAAATGTACCATCTGTGGGCAACGCTGCACAAAGTCGTAGCGCGATAGGTTAAGAAACCAAATTTTCCGGTCGATTTAAAGAGCCTGCCGTCTCCTTGTTTCACCCTGTATATGCAACGTGTAAGTCTTCGGCAGAGCAATATGTAGTATTTTTCAAATGTTTGTACTGAAGCCCTCTTTAGTGAATAATTTCAACCAGGGGGATGCACTAGGTCTCACATCGTGTTCATGTAACGTTCCTTTAAAGTAGAAAGTAAGCTCAGATATAGTAATGTCACGTATAATTAAATTACAGCAACGAACCCAAGAAATTATTTACAGTTTCGCTCGGGAGCTATTTAAGCCGCAATAAAGGGGGAGGAGGACGGAAGCAAAACATTAAGACAATCTGCATGTACTCTCAATTTGTGAACGGCGAATTCCAGGCAAGTGACCGCATGAATGCTCTAAAGAAGATTTTACATTACCAAGATGTTGTGAATGCAAATATTATTAATCAAGCTTGATTAAATTAACTGAGCTGCTGAGTTACTAATTCTCCATAAGAAAAGAACTTTCTAATAAATATCCATATGATCCGACTCTTTCAGCATATACTATGTATTGGTTTCAGTCTCACTTCATTTCTCGACTACATCACATACATTATGTACTTTCGGGGAAGTCAATGTGTTCATGCTATATATTATTATAAAATACTTTTGAGCTGTTACAGCTAAAGGGACGGTTAAATATTCCAGTTTCTTAATAGCTCAAACAGTTTTCAAGAGGCTATAGAATATAATAATTCAAGCCTGTATTGAAATTCAAATGCCTCATTTCGAGAAGGAATGCTTAATCGAGTTCGGTGGGACATATATTAAAGCATTTATTATCTGTGCTGCAACGGGAGACGATAATGCCAGTTCTATGAGTGACATGTATTAAACAGGTGGCGCCGGAAGTCTTTCCTAGAAACATCATCTCCCGCCAATATATGTATGCTCTTTGGTGTGGTAAGAGGTTAACCGCCCCTCGGCGACACCGGTATCCTGATGCCTTTAGTGTGCCTGAATTTGAAGTGGTTCAAACTGGTCAATAGGTGTCACGTGATTCGTGTTATGAGTTACGTTCAGCAGTACAAGGAGCAAGAAGTTGACGAGAGCGTTGGTCGTCTGCAAGCACTTCCGCCTTTCCGCCCGCGATCTTGCTCTTCGCATTGAAAACGCTGACGTGCAACGAACCTGCACACGAATTGTCCGCCACTAAACTGAGAGCGTTCTCCAAGGTTCAAGTTCCTCCCTTTCTCAAATCTATGTTTTCTGGAAGATCTTATTCTGAAAACAAAGCGACGAATTTACTTTGGTTTTACGGCAGCTGGGGCTATGTTTGGACATTCTTATCCCTATTGTGCCACTTACTAAATTCTTGGAACGCGGCGCAAATTCCATTGGCTGGTTTCCACACTTGCGTATGAGTGCAGCCAAGTGTTTTAAACAACATTGTGCACGCAATTGTGGTCGCTTACGACGAAAGAACACAATTACCAGTGACATCATCAATTGGGTATCCCTGAAGATTTAAAATGTTCGCACATTTCCTTTTCCTGAACAATTCTTTTGTTTCACCATGTACTTAAGAAACGTTTAATAATGCCATTAACGACCATGGGCAATATATAGGAGAAGCAATTGATATCGCAAAAATCGAGAAACATTCACACCAGTTAAATTCAGTTTTAATGCTACCTCAGTAATGGCGCCAGAGTAGAAACATCGTGTTATGTCGTTACAAGCGAGCGCAAGTCTGCAACACGCCCTTGGTTGTAGAAAAACAATACGCAAGGGTGTATACGAGCCTTGTGATGAAACTTTTGTGAGGGGAGCCCACCATTATAATCGATCAGCAAATTTTTACTGCGCTCACTACGCTATGAGGATATCATTGATCCCAATAAAAGCCAGCAGCCTTCATCTGTAACAAAAAGCTAATATTACAATCTAATTTATTGGGTAAAAACCATGAAAACACTTTCATGACGGCTAAAATATGAAGAAGTGTTTGACACAAATAAACACTTGAGACATTTTAATTACGTGAGTCCAGAACTTGTTAGAATAACCTATCCATTAATGAATCCATCCACTAGTCAACAATGACGTTCAAACAATTATTCTGTCAAAAGAGGTATGGGAAAGGGCTTGACAACCCTTCCCTAGGGTTGTCAAGCTTAACATCAATAACCTAGTTACTGGCTAGAATTCTATTCGTTCGGAACCAAGGGTGATTAGCGCACCTAGACTTGTTGCCGAACGTAAATAATTTATTTTGTGTGCGCAGCTTGCAAAGAGAGAGACAATCTGGCGTACAGCTGAAATTAATATCACGCGTCTGCTTGCTAAAACGTAATGCTTTCATGTGGAAAACTTTTCTGAGTACATTGTGTTATGATTGTTTTAATATTTTCAGTATGACCTTGTTCGTACTTCACACTTCTCAATTGCTCAAATAGCGCTTGGTAGCTGTCAACTTGACGGCACTAAAAAAGTATGTACGTCTTTTTTATTTGTTTTTTTCCTCTACTCCCAACGTCGTCCCATGGCATTTCTATCAATGCGGCACTAAAAAGAACAAAAATTGTGTTTCCTTAATAAACGATATGCGGTTCTTTCATACTTAGGGCTATAAACGAATTCCGGAAAATGATTTAAGATTAGTACCCTTATTGCATTTATACATTCACAATTACAAAGTTTTATCCTCCTCGAGAATAGACCAATTAACGCTATTATTATTTTGAATGCCACCGATTAGGTCATGCAAAGGGCTAATAAGTGAATTATATTGTTGATTCTATCGTAAGATACTAATCTTAAAGAATATAATATTGTTCCCACTCAATTCAGAATTATATCAAACCTCCCGTACCTTTCTTCTTTTAGAAAGACATTGCCATCATAACACTGGAACGACCTGTGAATTGTTCAGAAACCATTAAAACAGTTTGTCTGCCCGACATCAATGACAATCCGGATTGTGACGTTCCCATGTACGTTGCTGGATGGGGATTCACTGAACGTAAGGGCGACTAATAAAGTTGTCATTCGAAACTCCCAAGGCTAATATTGAAAAAAAAAACAAAAAAACGGAACGTATATTTTAAAAGTTTCTGTCTATTCACATTGTGTTAAGCTGCCGGCGTGTACCGCAAGTTTAGAAAAAAACGCCCACCCAAAATGAAGAGATATATGATGAAAAACATGGGGAGGTGGGCTATCTTTGGGGATACCACAGCAAAACTTTATAACGAATAAACGTTAAACGCCCTGGAACGGACTGCAAACTAGGTGACGCGGGTACTGACACCGCAGTCCGCGGACACGGCGAATTCGCGTTTCACGATGCGATAAACACGCACAAGTATGCTACGGACTCCTCTGCCACGGGAAGGGATACCGCAGGCTGAGGACGCAGCAGACAGGTGTTTCAAAGTGGGAAGGACGCGCAGAAATCCTCCGATAACTCGCACTTCGAGGGAGCGGGTACCGCAAATCGCGTACGCAGGACAATTAATTTTTACGGTGCAATAAACACGCGGTAACCCGCTACAAATTTGTCTGTATCGGGAACCAATATCACGCGCGCAGATCGTGGACAAAAACACGGGAATCCACGACAAATTGGTGTGCTACAGGATCGCGAGCGCAACAGAAACGTATTTCACAATACAAAATACAAACGGGACGAACTTGCATGAAATCAAGATCGCGCGCGCACATCATGGACAAAAACGCGAGAATCCGCTACAAAGTTTACGTCACGGAAACGGATACCGGAAATTGCGGACGCAGGAGATTCTTATTTTATGGTGCAACTTACACGCCGGAAGAACTCGCGTGTTACGGGAGCCGATATCGCGCGTGCAGATCGCGGAAGAAAAAACGCGGGAACACGGTATGACCTCGCCTGTCGGACGTGCCGGAACAGGAAATTGCGCGGTTGATGGGATTCCCGTAAGACAGCGCCTGATGTCCGACGGGAATCGGGTGGTGGGCGATAATTCGGAGTTTTATATTACAGATAATTACACATAAAAACGGGACGGGCGATCTCTCGGGGGCGTGCGTTGTCTTGGACATTTACGGTTGCTATAATGAAAGGAAGGAAATCACAAATAGTTGATGCCACCTCGGGTATTTGCTGGGGTTGCCGTTTTACTCATGAAAAAAACAGAACCTTCATTTTTGGGACCCTCGTTGTTTTTAATCCTTACTAATGAACTCGAAAATGATGTATTTTTTAAACGTGCGATTATATGCCCATGACTGGGTAGTTTACTGAAATTTTGGCATTTATTCAAAATACAGCATTATGCAAGGTGACCTTCATCGTATTCTCAGTTGGTGTAATAACTGAAACATGGAGGAGGAAGTTTAGAGGTGCCACCATGTACAGTTTAACAGATAACACCTTCCACTCCTTTGATCTAATTCTACTGCGTGGCCCAAGAAGCGGTGAGGCTCTTTAAATCGACCGCGAAATTCGGTTTCTTAACCTATCGCGCTACGACTTTGTGCAGCGTTGCCCACAAATGGTGCATTTCTTCCTTTTTTTTTTTTGTAAAATTTGCAAAGAGCGAACTTACCTGAGGAAGACGTAAAGAAAGTAAAAAGCTTAGCTCCTAAGGAAACGCAGCGAAGCAACAGCACGGCGCCGATTCGCAAGGGAGACAAGAGATGCGGTCGCAACGCCAAGTGCTGCCAACGAACGAGCATAGGGCGTCGACAGCCGGCGTCTTTAGGAGACGATCTTTCCGACCTGAAAGCGAAGCGAGCGTTTCTAATATCAGTTGCCAATGCATTATTTTATCAATCCTTACTAATAAAACATAGTGAATGAACTCATAATCGATCTAAAAAAAAGATCTATTAAGTTATTTGGACTGTTTTTTTTTTTTTGTTGTTTTTTTTTGTGGTACTTAAGTCGTCTGCTTTGCAGTTCCTTGTTGTTACCGCGCCTGTGTTTGGTTCTGCGACTGTTACCGCCTGCGGAACGTGCGCCGCTTTTGAGTCGAAAAGATAGTTTGCTAAAGACGCAGGCTCGCGGCGCCATATGCTCGTTCGTTGGCGGCAGTTGGCGTCGCGACCGCTTGCGCCATCTCTCGTCTCCCGTGCAAAACGGCGCCATGTCGTTTCAAGACCGGTGGCTTCGCTGCGTTTCAACAGGAGTTAAGCCTTTTTCTTTCTTTACTTTTCCTCAGGTAACATCGCTCTTTGCAAAATTTAAGTCATAAAAAATGCACCACCTGTGGGCAACGCTGCACCAAATCGTGGCGAGCTAGGTTATGAAACCGAATTTTCCGCTCGATTTAAAGAGCCTGGCCGCTCCTTAGGTCACCCAGTATAACAAATGAACTTGTACCTCTAAGTGACCGAATGTAGTCCTTTGGCGTATATTCCACTGAAAATCTTTCCTGACGAACCGACCTAGGATTAACACAGTGCTCAAAAAAGCTCCAGTCTTGTTTTTCTGTGTTTTTTTAATATACGTCTACTACGAGAGCATCAGTAGATTTTTCTTACGCCAGGGTATTTTTTTTTTCAAAACTGTCTTTTGTTAATACTCAAACAAAACGAAAATCGACAAGAGTAGGTTTGGAACGATACTACGTGTTACCCTGCGATGGACTAGGTTCCGAAGCCCGTCGTGTGGAGCACTGCGTCAAAAAATTGGGCATTCACATTGCAAAAGAGTGCGCAAGAGAAATTACACCGCGCAGTGTACGAAGAGCAATAATTTTTCGCAAACGATTGTCTGTTTTGGTAGGGCGCTCTTTTGTATAGGTGAAGTAAAACTAGACGGTATTTAGTCTCATAATCATTCATGCCGTATTTCGTAAACATGTCAACTGTTTGGAGAAGTTGGAGGGCACGCAGGCGACACTAACATAAAGTCGCTTAGCTAATCGAATCCAATCTGTTTGTACGAAACCAGACCCGCATCTGCCTTCCGCACATGGTCCACACATACGCTCTTCCATGTTGAGCACTCGATTCGACTCATCTTCATTTCTTAATGGCCATTGGTTTTGAACCCAGGATTTCTTCGCCCCATCTCATCCAGATGGTATTTAGTTCTTTCAGTAGTCTTTCACAAGTAGCAAGCAGATGGAGCCGCTGCCAGGGCTCGATAACCAGACGGGAAACTCGCCTCCGCATGATGCGTCTTGGCGCACTGATGCGTACGACGGAGCAAATATACAGCGTGGTTTCTAAAAGGCTCGTTGTTGCACCCGGCGGCCTGTAGCACTGGGCTTTAGTCCATTGCAGGATGATACGGAGCATAGTCATACGTTATTTCGCAAATGTCCGATCAAACTTGGAATTTTAAAGTTGAACGTTCTACTAATTGATGCTTTAAACAATTCTTTTATCCACCAATAGTTCAAGAAAGAAATCGGATTTACAGTTACATGGCGTGAATGATCTCTAATTTTTTTTTCTTTGCTTTACCTGTTAATCGTACGTAAATACTGCTCGTTTTTCCATGCTTTGGAGGGTAACATGCTCTTTTCCTTTCCATGATACTCCAGTTTGTTCATGCTTCTATTTTCGTGTATTTGTTGGATATGCCTTTCTTCCAAAGTTGTAATATATTGTAACGATTCCTGTGATGATGCCCTTTGGGCGTTGCAGTATACTCCTGTATAAACACATTAGACCATACCTAATTAACAGTCAGAGTAAGTTTATTGCATTAAAATTACGACACAGCTGTGTATTTGGGATACAACAGCATATTACATTTTTCAGACGTTACTAAAAGCGCTTTTCCCGTACACTGTTACGCTTCCACCGAGAGATAATCAAATTATAATTTTAAAGCATACATGAAACCTGCATATAAAACACTTTATTTCTTTGAATGGACTTTTTACAACAATAGAAATTTAATGTGCCGTGGACTAGTAACTATATGATTTTTCCTAAGAATTTAAGTCAGCGGTTTATCTTTAAAAAACTTCACAATTTAATACCCGCTCCTGAGGAAATGTTTAAAACGCTACATAAACCGTTAACACTTCTTTTTTTCTTGCAAGATACCCCCTTGAAACGCATTTTCTTCACATCACGTACGCTTACTTGCTGTTTTGTATGTGCGTGACAGTTCAGAACGGCAAAGTTCGTAAGGAACTACCTCAATAAAACACATCTTAGGAATGATACCAGATAATACACTCTAAGAAAAAAGATGGTCTCAAAAGACTAACGACAACATTTGGTCCTCTGAACTCCCATTTGCTCCCCGAAGAGACCATCTGGTTCGAGCTAGGTACCGTGCGCCAATGCTGGGGACTAACTGTACTCGACCAGGACTAACCGGAAGGCGCGCGGGAGCAAAAGGAGCCCCGGGTGCAAAAGCGCAGGAGCAAAAGCAGCGGAAGGCGCGGGGGAGCAAGAGCGCGGGAGCAAAAGACGCGCGGACAAGATGGCGGCGTCTGCTTTATCGCCGATGGCCAGCGTTAGCGACGCAAGAGGCGACATGTTTAAAGGTTGAAGCTGACTTTATAACGATCGCAGCCTCCGTACCAGCACGTCGTGGAAGCCGCCGCTGACTCAAGCGCAGCCATTGTTGATGCACTGGCCATGCCGCTTTTGAGCATTGTCCTGGCGTCCTTCTCCTTTGCATACTTTTGAACGTGCTTTGAAAGCGTTTATATTTTCTTTTGGTTTAACTGGAACGTAGAAAAATATTTTTATCACTTAGCACGTGGCAAAAACCTTTCCAAAGACGAAAAAGATAAATTCTGGTTTCTCTTCTTTTTGTATTCTTTACAATCCTTTTTTTTTTCGCAAGAGACGACGGGGTTGCCACGGAGACGCGCATGCGCACAGCGGGGAAGCTATGCGGGGAAGCGAGAACATGGCTCCTGGGAGCCTATGGGGACGCTGTTTTATAGACTGTCACAAATAATTACTGTGTGTGCCGTTTCTTCTTAGTAAGAGATACACTCATTGGAAAGTTTAGCAACAATATTGGAAAACAGTATTGGTGTGAAAGCAGCACCATATTTGTAACGTCGTTCACGGTTGAGATAGTCACTGACAAAACGACTCCTCTCAAATGATCAGTATAAAAGGCGCATGGGTAGGCTTTGGGGTGACGATTGAAATAGCGTGTCGTCGCGTGTGTGTCGTCGTGTGTGAGTGGTGCGTGTGTCATCTGTATTCTAATTCCTGATCTATGTTAAAATGTTATAACGTGTGCAAATGTGAAAAAAGCGTTGTTCGTATGTGAATGTAATGAGCGCGGATAAGATCTACCCCAGTGATACTAATTTTTTTTACCAACTTTGAATTTGACGTTGACTAGCGCCACCTGGGTGTGTAAGCGCGCAATTTGGTACTAAATAAGGTAAGGGCGCAACATTTAGTCCCAGGGGCCTAACTGCAAGGGTGCAAAAGTTACTCCTGGGGGTTCAACTTTGAGGGACTAACGGTAGGGGAGCAAGGGTTGCTCCCGTCGCCGTTGCTGCCCTAGGGGACCAATGGTTGTGTCAGCGCATTTGCTCCCTTGAGGGAGCAAGTCTCGCTCCCTTTTTTCTTAGAGTGTAGATACAGTAAACATGAGCGCGTCCACGTCGGCTGCCGTGATTATAACGTTAATAAACGAAATCTAAGGTTTTGGCAGTAAATCAAAGTTGATGGTGCTAAATTCCTGTCAAAGTAATTTATGGCTTTATTATTCAAATAAACATATAAACAAAAATACTGTATTTCATGAGAAACCACAAGGCAATTATTTGGGGAGAATAATTTCGGCATGTATTAAATCCCGTAGGAATTATACCGTTTTAGAAAATATTAAGAATGCATACAACAAGTAATTTTAAGAGTTTCTTGGTCACTGGTAACATCCACATGGCATTATGAAGGGCAGTCGTGATGGGAAGGCATTAAGTTCATAACAAAACTGAACTCTCGCTAGCTGTTCTCACTAACATTTCTTCATGTAACTACATACTGGCCGGCCCCTCGATGCGAAAACCAAATTTGCAAAACAGTTTAAAAAAAAAAAAACGTCTGTATTGGTTCAAAAAACGCCTAAATACATTGCCGTTATAATGTCAATTCTAAAGTCCTCACCGTGTGTATCAAACCTCAATTTAGCAATTGTGATGTACGGTGCCAAAAAACAATAAAATCGTCTTCGCTACGAAGGCGTACACGGCACACTGTTTTGCCAATGCTTTGGTGACTTGTATTCACATAATAGTTTATAATTATTCATACTTATTCCCTTAGACTATACTCGCGACAATTTGTTGAAGCACTCGTAAATGTGAGCACATAGGGGATCGAGCTACATTAATTAATCCCTCTATTTTATTTTGTACTTCCTTTTGCAGCGGTCATAAAAAATAACCAGTCTCGGTCTAAAGATGTGGACGTGTTTCAAGTCGAAGAAGCTTTGATGACAGTAAACTCCGGCTCTGAGAAAAAATCCCAAGAAGTAACTGAAGGTGGGGTATACCAATGCGCTCAGATGTCCTTACAGGGGCATTGAAAGGTTAAAATAATATTTTTTCTGCAATCCAAAAAGATTAAAAACGATGCATGGACATTATCCACGAACTTCGAAACTTGGAAACTCAGCATTTGCGAAGTAAAAAAAAACACGATTTCCCAAAGCCGAATTTGAAGTTCGCGCCCGAACCGCGCTAGTGCCGTGACGTCGAAGATACAGTCGTCCAGCAACTCAAGTTTCTCTTGCGCTTCCGAGTCATCCCGACCCGAAGTGTCGCGGTCACCCACGTCCAGCGATCGAACGCTCTTCTCCGTGCCCGCCGCCTGTTACAGTAAGCAGATGACGCTTCACTTGCGAGTTTGAAGTTATTTTAGGGCCCATTTAGTGATCTCAAATTCTTTCGAAAAGTGTGAGCTCGACGAGGACGCGCAGTTGACTTTTGTCAGCGGCGTGAGGGGCCACGTCGTGCCGGTTCTGCTTGAAAGGCTGCCCCGGCGGAGTTACCACCGAAACTACGGTCAAACAGACACCAGACCCAGGTGTCTTGATTATTTGACGATTTCCTTTTCGAAGTCTCAGAGGCCACCGGGTAAATAAAAAAGAGAACTTGGTCCGATTCCCCGACTGACCGATCATCCTCAGTGCTATATGTGCGTGCGCCGTCAGCGGCGCGATGTTCTCCGAAGGAGGATAAAAAATCAGGAGGCGACGTCACTCCGGACTCCGATTTTCGGTATCTCAAAATGAAGGGCGTTAAAAAACATGTTTTACCAATGTCGATATTAAATTTTCTAGTAATATAGCTAACAAAGCTTCTAAATTTTATATATTTTTTTTTTTTTGGCGTCACAAATAAAAAGGTACAGGAAGGTGAGAAGAGGAAGGCAAGGGTGTGAAAATGAAAAGCCGTTCCCGCTTGTGGGGAACGTTTTTTTTTTTTTTGCGTTGTGGTTTTTTTTGTTTTTTTTTGTGTCTATGTTACAATTTGCATCGTTTTAACCAACAAACAAGAATGCGACGTTTGGGGTGTCAGTGCCCCTTTAAAGGGTAACCGCAAAGAAAAAAGTGTTTTTTGTTTTTGTTTTTTAACAGGCCCTAATTGGGACAAGCATATTCCAAAACAAATCTTCCGCAATATTTACGCCACAGGACGTAATTTAGTCGGAGTCACAACTAGAGCACTGCACGGGCCGGAATTTCTAGGCCCGGCCCGACCCGGCCCGGTAGAGACACGGCCCGGGCCCGGCCCGAGCCCGACAGAATTTTAAATTTCTAGGCCCGGCCCGACCCGGCCCGAAAGAGACAAGCCCGGGCCCGGCCCGAGCCCGACAGAATTGTTAATTTCAAGGCCCCGCCCGACCCGGCCCGATGGCTGTAGCCCGAAACAACCGATATCCGTTTGAACCCGTCCTGTTTCGACCCGCTCCCGAAACGAGCTCCACATTTGAACCCGTCCTGTTTCGACCCATTCTTTAAACACCCTTCCCATATGAACCCGTCCCGTTTCGACCAGTTCCCTAAACGCCCTTCTCGTTTGAATTTGTCCTGTTTCGACCCATTCCCTAAACGCCCTTATTTGAACCAGTTTCCGAAACACCCTTTGCGTTTGAACGCGTCCCGTTTCAACCTACTTTTATAAGGCCCTGCACATCGCAACCTCTTCGCAAAAAGTCTCCATCGTTCTAAGCCTGGTCTGCGCACCTTTTCTGTTTAAGAATATGTTCTGAAGTAGCTTTACATGTCAACGCGTTCTTAAAATATACAACCCTTTCAGGCAAGCTTAAGTTTAATATATTCCTAGTTAACCCCTTAAAACGTTTTTTTCAAGATGGTTCCTAAAACGTGCAAGCGCGGTACGGACTATGTACACTGCGCGACACTGATACCGCGAACATGACGTTGGCTCTTTTTTTCGAATTTTACTTCGAAATGGTTTTAGTAGGCACCAAAGTATACCGCTTAGGTATGTGGCCCAGATGAGCACTTCTAAAGACACTAATATTTTTGAAAACAGCGTTTTGATTCTATGCGATAAGCATAAAAACACGACGATCGCTTGTTCGCACTAATATAGTGTCGCGCTCTGTGCAATAAGGGAGTCTTAGAATAACGTACTCAAGCACTTTGGGCAAGCTAAAATTAGCATCGCCAAGGTTTTAAATCGCAACGCTATTTTTACGGTACCCAAAGCGCTTGCGTACGTTTTTCTAAATCTTCCTAATAGTGAACTAGATATTTTTGAGAGCGATGAATCAGACAGGTTGACAAGCATATGACTGGGACTTTATTTTGTTTACAACTTATAACACAACCCTCGCTCACACGGAAAAAGCTTGAAGGCTTTCTAGCTTCAAGATGTCTTTTAGTTACTATTTTTAACGACGCTTTAGTGAATTTGCACTTCGCTTTTTTTGTATTCAATGAACCTAAAAGATTAATGAGCAAACTTCTTGCTATCAACAACAATTTATGATTTACGGCACAGAATTGCCCAGGCACGGCTCGGGCCGGCCCGGGCCGGCGCGGCCCGAGAACTTTTTTGTTCAAGCCCGAGCCCGGCCCGGGCCCGAGAAAATACGTGCTACCCGGCCCGAGCCCGGCCCGCGGGCCGGGCCGGGCTCGGGCTTTCGGGCTGGCCCGGGCCCGTGCAGTGCTCTAGTCACAACCTCTCCACTTTTGAAATTCCCGCTTTTTCGGCCGGCGCGGAGGAGAAGTACGCCCCGCCCCTCGTTCTTAGATTTGCTTTTGATTGACTTGGCCGCGAATTTGAACGACGTACGCAACGTCTCGGCTTCCGGTTCGTCTTCTCGAAGATACGCCGGCGGAGGACGGCTGCCCCTCAGCAAAAAGAGACCGTACTTCAAACGAAGCTGAAATATATTGAATACGAATATTCGTTTTGTATTTATTCTGTATTATTTTGGCCGCATTCGAAATACGCGGGTAAGGTATTCAAAATACATTATAAATATGAATAAAAAAATTATTTTAGATATACCAAAAATATTATTCCTTCACACTCAAGATGCCATTGGTGCATTAAAAGCCGGTCACACAATTTTTTTTTATTTTCGATTTTGTCAGCAAATGGTGTCCCAGTGGTATTTGAAGGCACTACTAAATACATCTCACAAAGCTACATTAGAAACGAACACAAACACAAACACCATGAGGCACTGAACAGCTCATTCACAGTCCCGTTGACCGCTCTAGAGCCTTATATAGCCTACATATTGAAGGGAATCATGTTTTCGGTGACCACCTCTGCGCTTATTAAGGTTCCAAGTATTCGATCTTCTCCTCGGGAGTCTGTCAAAGGGGAAACAGTGCTTTGACGTTCGTGGACCATATCTCTTACTAAAAAGCATTGGTCCAACTAATAACAATTCGGCGCAGTTCCTAAAACAATATCCACACAAACGGCTCATAAAATACATGTTATTGCTTCTCTGCGTAGCACCACTCAGGACGAAGCGAATCAAGGCAGTTTCTTCACTTTAAAATACTGTAAACTACTTTCTTTTCGTGAGGACCTAATTCTCGCAAAGTTCGCGAATTGCCTACAATTCCGAAAAATAGGTCCCGTGAACAATTCCGGCAAAATGTAAAGACATTAAAATCTATAATGCGATTCCAGCGCGTCGCGAAAATTATAATTTGCGAATTATTCCAAAACTCCAACTTTGATCTTAATCGCGAAATATTGAGCCCGCGAAAAATAAATATTTTACAGTAGTTATTTTGCCTTTCGTTTTTAGTAGTTGACTATTTAATATGGTAGTTAATGTCACTATATCAAAGTCACTACTCACATCACGTACAATGGTGAGTATACACGTTCAGTGAGCTAATATTGTGCTAACAAAACCACGCCAAACGTATTTGTTCACAGCACCTGCTGAAGATTTCCAGCATCAGCAAATGTTGTGGCTGTAGTTCCCGAACCCCGTTAGTGATTGGTGTGCAAGGAACTGATCAGGTGTGTTCTTGATAGAAAAAAGGAAACAATAACATAAACTTGGCTGATTTATCAGTGCGATGCTGCGCAATTCAGTTGACAAACTAATCAAATGTTGTATTTAGGCGCTTCAGTGTACTCCATATCTGCTTGAAGTGAACTTCTAGAAGGGGAGGTTTTCAATATTTTGGTAGCTTAAGTCAAACTACCAATGTATTGCAGTCAAAAGGTACTTAGAGTATAACACAACAGTATTTACGATTTTCAGGTATTTTAATAGTATTCTGCACGTATTTTTGATTGCTCCATTTTTTTAGGGTTGGAGTATATTTTGCATGAATGAAATAAATTTTTTAAGAAATATATGTGAAAGGTATTTTGTGCCTATTAATTTAGTATTTACATATTTCAAAACGCATGAAGGGAACTTCAAATGTAGTTTAAGTATAGGTATCTTAAAATGATTTTTAGAAGTATATTTTAGTACTAAGTAAAAAAAAAAGAAGCTTATATTTTCGGTCTATTTTCTGTATACTTACAATTATGAACTGTATTTCAAATACACTCAAAATAGAATGTGGTATATTTTAAACGTATTAGTTTTCGCTAAGGGGCCAGCAACGAAAACGAAGACGGCGCCGCACCTGACCATCCAGAGCCTTCGGCGAGGTTGGACGACACCCGCTGGTAATTGAACTTCAGGTGTTCTTTGTTAGGCGGGACAAAGGACCGCGTCACTTCTACCTTCTCGCGCGAGACGCCGCATGCTTCGACGAATTGGCCACTTAATGAATCGGGTGTTACCCAACTGCCACGATTTGGCAAGAGTCATACCCCTGTCAGACGGGCATTTTAACGGGCTTTAGAGCAAGCTCCTTTATGAAATCGGCGAACCAGCGCACGCCGTAGGGCACGTGCGCACTCAACATCGCGAGCAGATTGGTCGATTTTATAAAGAAGCTTAGTGAAAAGGACCTTTAGAACGCCGTCTGACAGGGGTATTAAATAAAGAAGTCAGCGTACTGTTGCTCTTGGCTCTTGAGATATTACACGCAACCAGGGGCCGCTGCGGCCGCTGCCATGTAATGTCGACGGCCCGCAAGTGCATCTGCTGCCTGGAGGTTCCGGAGGTTGCCTCCAAGGCTGTAGCTGCTGCATCACGAATCACGCCAACTTCTTCGGTGGCGTCCAAAGCCCAGTCGTGCTCCAGATAGCCTACCGGATGAGGGCGATGGAGCTAAACGACATGGAGCTGGTGTAAAACTTTTTTTATTGACAAAAAAAAAAATCGGCGGCTTCATTTAATGAGAGCAATCAGCTGATTCTTGTTTCCTTGCTTATCCTTTGGAAACTAAGACTTGGACGATTATATTGATTAGGCCAGTGGGAACTTTGCTCGAGGAAAGAGTGTGGCGAGTTTAATTCAGACAAGTGGTTTAAATATTTAGTTATCAAGTAAAATAGAATAGCATGCTTCACTCAAGGAATTTCGCTCTTTCTTGGGGGTCAGCTGTTTTGTGATACTACTCTGATTGTGCAAGGGGCTCATTTTGAGCACCTGACACATTTTGGCCGCCACCGGAACTTCACAAGAAACTTGTTATACCAAACAAAGGTGGCATAGGTATAAAAAGCGGAAATTTCTTTTGGCACCGTAACTCAAAGGGGAAAAAAATTGGACGTCGCAGGCTCTAGCGAGAATAGCACTCGTCTTGGGAGGTTGGCACTTTACAGGTATGAAGGGACCAGCACACTACATATTCAATTCAAACAACCTTACGTAAGAGGGTTCGGAACCGACAAAAAAAAAAAGTGTCCACTAACGCAGAATTCAGACGTCTGAACGCTTCTGCGGACGGCTGTTACGTAATAACCTGGTTGTGCCAGGTTTTTTTACATAATAGTTGCGTCTCAGTTGCAGATGTTCGGTGCACCCGCTGCGAATCTCGAAGGCCTCCGGAGCAAAATGGCGCGTTTTTCACTACGCGAACGTCCGATTGCCTCCAGCCAAATAGCATTCAGGTTGTGATCTTTCGGGGCGACATGGCTGCTGGTAGACTCGCTGTCGCGATCATTCACCTGGCAGCACTTTACAAAGATGGCGCCGCTTCACAGAATTTCACAGCGATGAAAAATCGACATTTGCGCGCGCAAGCAAAAACAAAATTAAAAATAAAGCACGCTAAGAAAGCAAAGAGGAAAACAAAAGTAACAAACCGCGCTATGAAAGCCAAAATTCCGCGTCGCTTCCTGTCACAAAGCTGTTAAACACACACTACCTCATTTAAGCAAGTCTCACTCAAGCACCTGGGTCAACGCGAAACAGTGATCACTTAGGCGCAACGACTAAGGTAGGCGAAACGCCGCGAGACAGGCGGGCGCAGAGTCTTCGGCGACCATGAAAAGAATGGCGAAGCTTTTGGTTGGTATGGTATGAATCCAAATGGAAGTGCCCGTCTAATAACTCTATCCAAATGAATCCAAATTAAATCCAAATGGAAGTGCCCGTCTAATTCTAAAAAATAATAACTCTCATTATATAGGTTATTTTTAAACGTAAGAATATGCAGCTGAAAACAAAATTACAAGGTTTAACAACCAAGATCTAAGATGTCAATCAATCTTCTGTCAATCAATATTTAGCCAATGAGAAGAGTTGCTATCGCACGTCCCTCCGTGGCGTATAGCACCCACTCCGTGACGTATAATTCCAACTTTGTGGCAAGCGATTTAAAACGGACGAAATATCCGCAACTAAAATCTGTCTCGCGCAAAAAATATTGCTGTATTTTTTCTTTGCGCGGGAAAATTGTTTTGTGACGTGCTTGTCCCCATTAGGCTGTTTAAAAAAACCTTTTATTTTTATTTTCACTTAATTTTTTTTTAAATGCTATTGCGGTGCTGTCTTCCTGTAAAAGCGCCTAACAGGTTAGGTTCTAGTATCCATTTGGTCCAATGCATCTGGGGCATAAACGTTTTCAATGTATAATACAAAAATATTTTTACGTTCACTAGCAACTCCTCTCACCCTATACTGATATTTTAGTGCCATTGCTGCAAAAATAACTCTTGATATAAGGATACACTACCTGTAGCGATACAATACTTAAAATAAAGCCCACTACTACAAACTTATTTTCAAAATTCAAAATCACGGTTTTAAGCTCTTGCCTTGAACGCGTTGAGAATGGTGTTCCAGCACTGCAACTCTCGTAATCTGGTCATTTAATTTCCAGGGGTTAAAATCCAGGACCCCAATCTTCAACGCCGTCCAAAAAGTATATTCTTAACCATAACTAACAAGATTTCTTTTGATGATAATGTAATTAATGCAAAGGCTCAAGCGAGCTGGACAAGAATATTGATCATAATTCCTGGGAAGGGGAACAAAGGAAAAACACAAATCTCCAAACACAGCTAGGTGACTAGTGCGCTTCTGCAAAATCCTCCTGGTACTAGTATCGAACCTGGGGCGTCTCAATTTCCAGTGGAGCGCTCTACCACCCGTACCAGGCGAAATTTCAGTCGCGTACAAATAACTGAGCTGTGTTTGGACATTTGCCTTCGTCCTTTGTCTTACTTGCGTCCCTTCTCCAGGGAATTAATATCATTAAGATTCTTTCATACCACAAACATTAAATACTTTTAACTGGCGAGAAAATGCAATCATACTAAAGTGAATTTCGCATTAAAAACGCTCTTGGACTCTCTAATTTTTCTCAAAATCCTACTCAAATAATGAAGATCAATCCAGCAAGATCGAGCTTATTTAGAACATTTTCGACGGTTTCCAAACTCAGTTCGAATGACAAAAATGTTTCATGGACAGCTTACGTCGTTCGGCCTTCATCTGGTTTTATATTACAGGCACAAGCGAGTATCTTGACGACTACTATGATACTGCAGTGACACCGGGGTCCGCGGTCAAAAATACGAATCCTGATATGCTCCAACAAGCCCGAGTACAGTTAATCGCAAATGAGAAATGCGCAGAGCTGTATCACCGGCCGTCAGTTCATGGAAACATCGTGTGCGCTATGCACGACTTTGGATCATCTATATGCACGGTGAGGACAAACATTTTTAGTAACATCTTCACCATTAGATTATAATAAGGCAGGTCTTAAAAACTAAAAATACCGATCTTCATTCCAAAAGCATTCGAAAACATTCTGATTCAAAAACTCTGCAGCCAATCTCAATATCTTGCGTGGGTGTTCGCATGCGCTCAATGGCCCTCAAAACAGCTGGCAGCCCAAGGAAGACGGAGTGCAGCCAGTCCCAGTGATATTACTACTGGAAAAGCGCAGAATCCAACATTTTCTAGCGGCAGCAATCAAGAACACTCTCAATTGTGCTCACTGAGAGAATGAGAATGACAGGGCGATTCTTCAGAACGCCCATCTGCCAGCAAACTCCCAATTCCTTCCACCTTTCTTTGGTAGCGCACGCGCCCTGGAGGTGCACCAAACGTCAAAGCCTCGTCAAATGTCGGAAGCTCGCTCTGGAGGCGGGACAACTGAAGCTCTTCCCGCCGTCATTCTGTAGCTTCATCCTTACAACCACTACTTTCCTCGATATATTTATTTTTCAATCGGAAATCACATGGCTTGTTTGTCTTTTAGTTATTATTTTTTTCGTAATAATAGTCCTTCTCCAAGGCTATTATCTAGGTACACCAACAAACTTCAAATGTTATCTTCAGCATTTTGTCCTTACTTCGTTCACTCAAGCTGACAGTGGGACGGGAGCTTCGTGCTCACCGGGTCAATCAACCGCCTTCCTTTATTAACTGACTCCACTCTCTGCGTGCTAGTATGGGCGGGAGAGCGATCGTGCGGAGAAAAATAGACGCATAACTGGTCCAAAAAGCACGCTGATTCTACCGCAATGTCCGTTTAAGAATGAAGTCGGTGTACAACAAGCCCCGACAAATAGGAGCCAAGATGTACTCAAACTTCCTTTATGACTCCCAACAGTAGCTCTTCGATGCAGTGTTTTCTGCGGTGAGCTCGGAAGTTTGATGGGTAATTTTAGAACTGATTGTTAGAACTGCTAGAGATTCACAGGATCTGACAGGAACGTTTTAGTCAAACAAGACAGACAGCAATGAGCATTTACGTCGGCCTTTTGGTGTTTATATTGGTTCGCCTATACTGTTTTTAGTAATATTGAGAATAGTAACTAAACCAATGCCACCCCTCAAATATTCGTTAATGTCAAACAGCTCCTGTTTTGAACTACAACACGAATTAAACGTTCGCCGCCGCGCAGACACGGTGCATTTCAAGTACTTTTCAATACGAATACATGTATTAGTAAATATAAGCCACAGGTTTCCATGACACAAAAATGGAAGGCGTCAAACTAAAAACGATGACTGACCCACACTGCGTTATCTCTTAAGTGTGAACGAATGTAAATTAGCTTTCTCGTGGGTTCCCGCTATTTAACCCGTTTAATTTTATCTGACTCGTCTTCTGATTCTTAAACAGGGCGACAGTGGAGGCCCGTTGGTGTACAAAAGAAATGATGGCCGCTGGACCTTGATGGGACTAACAACTGCTACCGCGATGCCATGCAACGTCACCAAACTCCCCATGTACTTCGTTAGAACTAAACCCTTCATGGACGAGTTCATTCTTCCGTGTGTTCAAAATTATAGTAATTGTACATGCAAGGCAGCAAACAATACGGAATCCGGCATTTATAACTAGTATAATTTAGAAAAATCTAAAGGCCGTTCAGATCTGTATATTCTTAAAAATAAAAATACTGCTATATCATCCGTGTAACTTCAAACCAAATCACTTGTGTCGCATAGATGTTCAGAGGTCTGCAGCAAAAAAACCTATCTGCTTATTTACATCTACTTACCCAGTATGTCCGCGCTAAAATCTATTTTAAGCACAAACTCAATTATTATATTAATTAAAATAGCAACAGCAGAAATATGCTTCTTCTGCATGAGGCTTAAACCGGCAAAGCTAGCCGATGCCGGACATGCCGCGAAGGTAACCGTGATCAAGGTCGACCACGACGATGACGGAACTGTGTTGAGTGCTGATGTCGCAAGCATGTAATAAAGCGTGCTGCTTTCATGTTGTTCTTGACTTCCCGTGACATGGTGAAAAAAACAGTATGATTTTGAACCCGGCATACCCAAATTCGAACTGGGCAAAATGGAAATCAAACTGGCTAAACTGGTGATAGAGGAAAGCAAGCTGGCCGAATTTGAACATTAACGAGCCAAAACTGGCACCTTAACATTACGAACAGGCAGCTGAACTTGCCAAACAGGCTAAACTGAGTGCTAAAGAGGTAAAAGTGGTAGCAGAACTGGTCCTGGTATTCAAGCTGTTCAAACTCGTGACTGAACTGATAATCAAACTGTTCTTCATACTTGTAGCATAGCTTCAAATTGCGGTGAAACTGTTCAAACTGGTAGCTAACTGCTCAAACTAGTCACCGAACTGTTCAAATTGATAATTGAACAACTCTAACAGGCAGTTCAGCTGTTCAAAATGATGAATATATACCGAAAAAAGCTTAGGAATTATATAATCTCCCTAGCAGCATAGTTTAGTCAATTACTTTGTAAATGTAATTTAATCATAGTAACAATGTTTGTCGCCTTGTGCCCTAGCATTCCAGACATGTAGTCTAAATAAAGAAAGAACAAACTACCTTTGCCCGGAATAAGATATTTACAATTAGAACTACTCCTGGAAAAAAAGTAATTCATTGCAATTTAGATTCCTTTTAGAACGTAAGGCAATTATTTCACAATTAGTTTCCTTTGAGCTACCCGACGTCAATATTTTTTTATATAACTGCATACCACTTTGTTTGCTCTGAAATTCAATTGTGTCCAGTGTTTTCCTTTAGGCATTTGTTTTGCTGATTTTAGTTCACATGATATAATGCCAAATTGCAAGTAGAATACAAGCAATTGATCTTGAAACGAAACCATTTAGGATTGTTAGTGTTTGTATCACTAACAAAAACTATATCTTACCCTTCTGAAAAATTTTGCAAACTGGGCCAGTTGAAACAGGAATATTGCCATTGGTTATCCTGGTTGAACTGGACAAGCTGAAACTGTGCATACCGATTTTACTGGGAAAATATGTATACTGGTAATACTGTACAGCTGTGTATACTGGTCCACTCCATGCAGTCAACCAGGTTAACGGGCCATATTGACAACGAAGTTCGTAAGCAGGTAAAATTAACTTCACATCCGCAAAAAATACACATACTTCAAACCTCCTTACAATATAATTTTTTTTTTTTTAACTTTCATGATATTATTTATGTCTCCCAAGCCGGTAGGCGAGAACTCCACTTGAGTTTAGTGTTGTTCGAAACACAACACTTCCCTCATTTCGGATGCTCAGGCTTATGACTGGCAGCCATATCGCTACAGTACCCAGGACTGCCGATTTCTCGAACAAGAGACAGCTGAACGACTAAAGAAAAAGGCAATTGTCCCTCCTTCTGGCCCTTGGGGACTTCCTGTGGTCATTGTAACAAGAGAAACCAAGCAGCGATTTTGCATCCTTTCTACTTCGCTTGCCTTCTTGCTTGCTTTCTCATCGTCCTGCACTTACAGTCCGAAGCCGCCCTTAGTAAGACTTTGTGATAGTCAAAGATGTGAACTGCAAGCAAGTTTCGCCTACCTGCCATGCCATAGTTGTTCCGGCTCTCTTGCGCCAAGGAGTGCTCGAACTGACTCGCAATAATAATAGTCACATGGACTTCACACAAATGCTCAGAAAGTTACAAGATTGCTATGGTGGCCTCTAATGAGTACTGCGGTATCTATACTCGTTTTCACCTGAAGGAAAAATCACGTTTTGTGCACTGTTTTGCGCAAGAACTACTTCGCGCCGCGAAGTAGTTCTTGGGAGATTGGGTTGTCGGAGCAAAAAGCGATGCTCTTGGCGTTAGGAACGTGTACGTCTTGATAAGATAACATACATCTATTCTAAAATTCACATATATACATCCTAATTATGCGCATGAAGGGGGAAATTAGTAAGGCTCCGCGAGGAGACGGACTTGTTTTACTACTGTTCTTGAGGTGAAAACGAGTATAGATACGTCAAAACGTGTTCGGTAAATAAAAGAAAAACGGTAGAACCACATCAAAATCAGTTGGAAAAATGGGCCTGGTATCAACAACGGATACACCGTTCGGTGTCATTGCCCTGGACCATATCATGATGTCAGAGGTCCGCAGTGCTCGGTACATTTTGAATGTCATCAATTTTGCAACTCGGTTCATCAGCCCGCAAGCGGGGTGATGAACCGAGTGTCGACATAAAAAGTGGTCGCGCACTTGTACAAAGTGTTCCATCGATACGGAACACCCGACTATTGCCCGACAGATCACGGCAAATAGAGTCGCGGGACTTCCGTCGTTTGCAGGCCCTACATGGAGTGAAACTTCTTTATTCTGTAGCCTACCGTTCCGCAAACAACACACTTGCGAACTCAGCAACGGCACGTTAGGAGCTGTTCCAAGGAGACTTTGTGACACCACTAACGCCGAGCGCGACAAGAAGCTAATGAGGGCTGTATTTACTGTGAATGTTACTGTTAACTTAACCCTCCAATTCTCACCATTTCACTTCCTCACGGATAGCCTACAAAACTTCCTCTACATAAAGTGTGCCATATTGATGCAAGACTAACATAAGAGCGTATGTTGCAGGAGCACTCTAAAAAAAAAGGTGGCGAAAGAGGAGGACATTTTCGAGTTCCTCCTTTTGACCAGCTCGTCTCTCCTTATTCATCGATTTTATGTGGTGCGCCCTCTATCGGTCAATGGAGTGGGAGGAAATTCTCTCCATCGCGTTCGGCATCCGCTCATGGACGGGCGGCCATAACGGGACGGCCAAGATAACTGCTCAGCTGCTTTACTTTCGCCAAACAATAGATGCATTTCGAACCCGGTTTCGAACTAACCTGCAAAACTTACTTAGCAGCAATATTAAATAATCAACCCTGGCTGGTCGCCAAATCCAAATCCAGTGGACAGGAGCGGACCGCAGTTCGGCGTGTTTACGGTGTTGCGTCGTGTCGCTTAGCTGCATTGCTTTGCTTGTCCGGCGTTCTTCCTGTCACCGCAGACTGGAAAAGAATATCTAGCTCTCGCATATAAGTGACGGAAGTGCGTAGGCCTTCCCTATAAGGCGGTCAGGCACGGATCGCTGCATGAAACGAGGTTGCACGAGTTTTTCGTCGACGCATATGTTGGTGGTATCCACGTCGCTGAGAGAAAACTACTCACAAAAAAGGCAAGTGCTTTCTTTTTTATGCGCGCCATTACGTCATTGCCTCGGGCAGCTCTTTTTATAGCAATGTGCAACAATTTTATAACAGCAGTCGTTTAGTTTGATTGCCTGTGGTGTGGATTCATCAGCCGATCGGGACATCCCCCAGCTTAAGTTTTTCGTTGGGCGAAGCTTACACCGGCCGTAGCTATGTTAGACAACGTCGATAACTACGGCCGGGTAACTCTTGCTTTTTGCTTGTACCCTGCCATGGACGCTACGAGCCTGTTCCCGGGGCGCTGAAGAGTGCCTCGACATCTTGAATGTCCAGGAAATCGCCTGAAATTAGAAGAGAGTTTTCGAGCCTGTGCCGACGGCTGCTTGTCTTCTGCACGAGAAAAAATATAATGTTTTGTTCATTTGTGACGCGCTTTAAATTCATTATGCGATAGCGGTTGGTCATATTCCTCACGAATATACACCTTAAACTTAATAAAACCGCCGTCGTACTGGGATCACAGCTTGTCGTCGTAGATGCAAAAAAAGCGTTTTTACCTGTCAGGACTCTCCCGGAGGCTGCAATGCAACGGGGTATTTGCGATTTCATTTGCACAGAAAACACCCATTTCCACTGCACGTCTGCTGTAGGTTTGAAGTGGGCCTGTCTGTGCAATATGCAAATCTGCTGATTTTATTTTAGCACATTCAGATCATATAGCATTATTATAAAGGGTGTCGTCTATCTACTAAAGGAAATGCAGCTGTTAAAATATCTCAGCAATCGGCACGGGTAGAATTAGAATTTGGGTCTATGTAACCTACTGCACCACAACTTGGCAGCTGACGGTGTTGGCGTCTCAATGCCGTTGCAGCAGGTTTTGACCATCTGATATTTAGCCGTTGTGCACCAACTGACTCGGGTGCCAATCCATCCGCACTCAGGCTTGGTGTAACCATGACGACTGTTCAGTTATCGGCAAGTCTGGAAATGAGCAGACTGGGACCAAAACTAAGTGTTATCTTACACGGAAGTATTTTAGTTCTGAGTAGAGGAGACCACATGAATGAAAGGTGCTGCCGAAGTTGCTTAAATTCGTCTGGTTGAGTGAATACTTTAATATAAAAAACTGCTCTGCTTTCCACCATTCCATCACTGTTTGCTTTATGTATGTTCCAGAACCTATGCCTGACACGAGAGCAAGCAAGGGACGTTGAGAGGAACACGGGGCAGCAGGCAAGGAGCCTTACATGGCACAAGCTACAGTCGACAGCTTCATGCTTTCGTACATCCTTCCAAAGGGTAAGGTGGACTGACAACGCCATAGATGTCTAACCGTCCTGAGGGACATCTAAAGCAAGGGCCTCAGGAGTTATGTGAGCTGTTCGGAATGCTGCAAATGTTGAAGTCGCTCTATGTTGGTTAGGATGCCTCTACA